GTTACAATAAAAAAATAAACTGTAAGATAATACATTTGTGTTGTTTTAAGCCACTAAGTTTGTGGTAATTTGTTACAGCAGCAATAGAAAACTAATACACCCTGCAAACAGGAATTCTGATAAACTCAATGTTATGTCATTTCTATCAAAAAAGAAAAAATTTGGGGCCGGCCCAGTGGCACACCGGAGAGTGTACCGCTTGGGAGTGCGGCGGCGCTCCCGCTGAGGGTTCGGATCCCATGTGGAGACCGGTTCCCGCTCACTGGCTGAGCGCGGTGCGGGCGCGACACCGAGGGTTGCGATCCCATTACCGGTCAGTAAAAAAAAAGACAAAAAGGAAAAAAAAAAAAGAAAAAATTTGTACAGTGGATTTGTAATTGCATCCACTATATTACTGCATATATTATTATTTTTTTTCCCTTTTTGTCTTTTTTTTTACTGACCGGTAATGGGATCGCAACCCTCGGTGTCGCGCCCGCACCGCGCTCAGCCAGTGAGCGGGAACCGGTCTCCACATGGGATCCGAACCCTCCGCGGGAGGGCCACCGCGCTCCCAAGAGGCGCACTCTCCAGTGCGCCACCGGGCCGGCCCTACTGCATATATTATTGATAGTAGATAACTTCTGTTTTGAGTAGGCATCAATGAAAACTTAATTCTTTACTTACAATTTTCCATACAGAGCTTCTGGCCCTCTCTATATATAATTTTTACAATACTTAAGAATTTTTTTGTGGTAAAATAAACCTAACATAGAGTTTATCATCTTAGCCATTTTAACTGTCTACTTCAGAGGCGTTAGGTACACCCTCCCTGCTGTGCAGCCACCACCACCATCCCTAGCATGCTCTCATCACCCCAAACTGAACTCAACAGCCATCCAACACTAACTCCCCACACCCCTCTTCCCTTAGCAACCATCATTCTACTTTTTGTCCTATGTTTGCCTCATATAAATAAAATAATACTAATATTTGTCCTTTTGCAATTAGCTTATTTTCCTTAGCATAACGTCCTCAAGATTCATCCATGTTGTGGCATGTGTCAGCATTTCCTTCCTTTGAAAGGCTGAATAACATTCTATTTATGTATATATGTATCTACCATTTTGTTTATCCATTCATCTATTGAGGACTTTTGGCTATTGAGAATAATGCTTTGTTAAATTAATTTCTGTTTCTTATTTTGAACTGGCAACACATGCATATGGTACAAAATGCAAAAGAAACTGAAGGGTAAACGGTGAACAGTGTGTCTCCCTCCTCCCAGCCAGTCCTGTAGCTACCTGCCCAGTCGTTTCCCTCAAAGGAACTGCTCTTACCAGTTCTCAGGATAAAATTTATGCTGAGGAACTTTTTTAGGTTCTACTTGTGTGAAATATATGTGTATATATTATTTTCTACTTTTCACCTGAAATTTCACCTGACCTGAGATATGAGTGTGCATGTGTGCACGAGAACACACATACACACACACACACACACACGCTTAATTTTTTACTGTGGATAACCTTCTTTAAAATTATCCAGTCTTTTTTCCTTAAACCCCATACCACTCCCTTCAGGGTAACAAATTCCAATAGCCTGATGTGTATCTTTCCAGGCCTCCCTCCATGCTTGCATAATTATAGAGAGCATTTATATTACACGTTGATAATAAAAGCGGTGTTTTGGTCATTTGATTTTATAACAGTGGTATTGTAGTACATATACATCTTGTTTTTCTCACTTAAACAATGCACTATGGAAACTACAACTCATTCTTTTAAATGGTTGCATAAAGGCTATGGCTTAGACGTACAATTCATTCAGATCCAAACATTTTAAACTCTATTGTTTCTCCATGCCTGCATACTTACAGTGGTCAGCACTACAGGACATAGTAATACAGAGATATGACCTCTGGACTTGCACCTTGATGTCACATGTCATATTCCTGGAAGCAAGATATTTCTATACTGCTTTGGCTTGCAGTAATCTGATTATAATGGAGGTGACTGTGAACTCCATAAATACATACTTCAAACCCAAACCTAACATACCTCCAACTCAACTTACCCTTTGCCAGATACCCAAAATGCTCTTGGCCACTTCAATACCACTCCATATGAGGGGAAGTGCAAAGGAGGGGAAATTAGAGTAGGAAGAGATAGCAGTCTTAAATTACTGCTAAAATTTCTAAGTTTTGCAAAATTTATAAAAATACAACCATGTGAGCACATTGGTAAGGGCCCTGTATAAGCAAAGGGTCCTGGGACATAAACTTCATGGTAAATTTGCCTTTACTGATACTGTATTAAGAATATGAAAACGGTACTAAGTTTTCATTACCAACTTTTTTTTTTTTTTTTTTTCCTTTTTTTGTCTTTTTTCGTGACCGGCAACGGATCGCAAACCTCAGTG